GATTTAGAAGTTGAGCTTTCTGACTTTAAACCACTGGTAAATTTTAGGTAGAGTATGGCAGAAGTGATGGGAAGTCACTTTCAAATTCAGTTATGTATTTATTATGACTTTCATCAGATCTCGGCCCCCCCTTCACCCCTGGGGAACCCAGCTTCTATGCTGTGATGCAGTCCTGCAAGACTCTGGGAGCAGTGAACTGTGAACTACTAATAATCACACAAGGAAGCACGGAAGAAGAGTCCCAATTAATTGCTTAGTCAAGGCTTCAAACTCATCCGGCAGCTGTACTAAAACTTCTTGAGAAATTTAAGCAAAATGCACACTGGTAGTAGACTCCTATGATGTAATAAATTCCTTCTACTCTGCACTATTTTGGTTAATGCATTTTGCAGCAATAGATACCTAATACACGATCCTCACCAAGTAACAACGTATCATTAGCAATGAGTTAACACAAAATCATGCTCTACCTGATACAATGAAAAAAGCATACTTTATAGCATTGCTTCTGTCATATTTTAACAAAAATATATAACCTTAACTCATGCATGAGAAAAATTATATAAACTCAAAATGAAGAATACGCTAAAGAGTAAGCAGCTAGAAAATTTCAAAAGTATCATAATGATGAAAACCAGGAGAATCTGAGGAACTGATGCATACTGAAGGAAACCGAAGATGCTCAAAATACAATTTTGTGCTTGTGAACTTGAATTTTCTACTCTAAGACCTTATTGAGATAGTCAGTGAAGCTGGAATGCAGTATAAGGATGAAAATATAAAGTCTTATGTTTAAAGATGGTATTTTACTTACACAAGAAGAGCATCATAATGTACAGTATATGGTCAACCTCCTGAGCTCCTGACAAAGACTGTGAATGAGACAGGGCCAGAAACTAGTTACATTTTACTAATTCCTACTGTGTTACTTGAACTTATCTCTTTTGTTATGGTTGACTTGTGGGTTAAGAAGATGTATGTACTTTATTGTTCTTTGGGTTTTTTTTAATTTATGGGACTTCTGAAAAAAATAACGAAGTGTGAATATCCATATGTGTTTCTAAATTATAACAGTGATGTAATAAATTAATGTTAAGTATAATCCAAATCTTCAATATGTCCTTCCTGGGGAAGTATTATTTCAGTACAACCATGTAGAAAGTATTAGCTACCTAATAACCTCTAAGAGAGTCACACCAAAGTTTCACATTAGCATTTCTCCCCAAACTTCACATAAAACAAAACAGAATTTGGAGAAGAAAAACACAAAAAACAAGTAAATACTTGCTTACTGTTCTTATTAAGTCATTATTCTAATTTTCTTTAGGTGGATCTGTATTTAATCTTCTAATAAGCATTTTTTTTGTAAGATGGTGGATAAGAGAAAGTTTTCCTCAGATTTTGTTTTATTCATGGACCACCCATCTTCAAACTATATGATATAATATAACATGGTATAATTCAAAATAAAATGAATTCCAAACTTAACAAGATCATCTGAGATCGAAAGCTAAATTTCAATTTTCTAAAGACATTCTAGCAGTTACCATAGAAAGATAGTGATTGTGATTAATTTTTTTCTAAAGCAGCTGGGAGTCATTTTTACCTTCTTGTATTATAGATAGGAATTATTAAATTTTCTTATAAGACTGAAACAAAACAATCATGCATGTACTGTGTAATTGTTACAAAAAATAAGGAAAACAAATGTCTATTTAGATCATCTGGCACATTACTATTACTTAGGAATTGATAACTTACATAAATCATGGCTCAAGATCGACTGTTGACAACTACTTAAACATTTCATGGAGACATGGTTATTAATCATCCAATCAGTGGCCTTAAAATGACTTAATTGAGGCAGAGAAAGACAATAGAAGTGTGAATATAAATTTAAACTCTTGAAACCTGTCACTACTCCAGGAAAAATAACTTAAGCTGCGTATTCTACTGATGCATAATCCTCAGATATTAAAGAGGGCGCATTACTGTATTTCATTGTAACTGCAATGATCTTAAAGAATTAAGACCACATCCATAAAGTCCAAATTTGTCTCCAGGGAGTATATTTGAGTTGAGGAATATCTGGACCATTAAGTAATATCCTTAGGTCAAAGTAAAAGCATTTTATCTCAGAATATTACTTCCATGGCATGCTGGGTGTAGCAGAAGTTAGTAACAGAGTGGCCTTTCTTTCAAACAATTCATAGATTTACTAAAACGTTCTTCATTTTAGGGAATTAAATGCATTGCATTTTGTTATGTCTTACGTATTTATTTTCCTCTGAAATGTCAACTCACTCTGCTTGCTAGCATTATTTTTCTCAATACTTATGTTCCTTGAAATTTGCACTTTGTTTAATTTTCATTGAAATTTCACTTATTGATTTAATTTTCATTATTCATAAACAGTTTATGTGAACAATATTTTCATGGCTGTAATCCATTATTCCTCAGTTGACACTTGAATAAGATAATTCATTTTGATATTAATTTTGCTTTGTATATTAACATAAACTATTTCACTACATGTATTTTTTTAATTGGTTAGTTCTTCCTTTTTATTGAAAACTGGAGGAAAAAAGTAATTCAGAGAGACTTTCTGAAACAAAGATACCTAAAACTGAAAATGAATGTACTGCTCTAGTGGCTATGTTGTCAGCATAGCAGGTAAAGCTTCCTTGGGTCTTAAGAAAAAAAAATACCTTGATATTCCAAGAAAATGATGGAAAGAAATGGAGAAAAAGATTTAGTGAAAAGTTATAATCCTTTTTCAGCTTAGAGCATTGAACCATTTCATCTAGTAAGATGAATGTATTTGCAAATGCAATCAGAGTCCTCAAGGAATTTAAGGTAAATACAACCTGTGAAAGCACAGCGGTTGTTGGTAGTTCTAGGTTGGTAAGGAAGAAGCAGAAGAAAACAGATGCCACAAATCCAAGTGTCCCTCTCGTGCTTTGTGCTTTAAATATATGGCTATGCTCGTGAGTAAAGGCAAAAGTAATGTATAGTAGATATTTTGCTTTTAACATTTAATTCATAACAAGTATTTTGAACTCTGTATTAATTTGAAAAGAGCACATTACACAAATACCCTCTGAGAACACCTAGGCTAACTCATAGCATTCTATATGGTTTGAGATTCAAAAGAAATCTCTTTTGTTTTGAAAAATATATTTAAAAGAGAGCTACATTGAAAATCAATTTAAATATTTATTAGAGTCTCTTGAATAACCAATAAGAACTGCCAGCCATGGCACAAAGCAACACATTTTAAAGAACTATCTCCTAGTAGGACAATAAATCATGTCCCACCCTGGTACTGTGACAGCTGGAACCATATGGCTTTTCACTTACCTGCCTTTATCTTCATGTTCCAGGTTGATTTATTTCTTCAAGCAATACCTGCAAACTCATTACATAAGGGCTCTAGATCTGCAATCATACTTTTTATCCAAACTAAAACAATGCAAATCCTAATTGTTTATCTAACAAGTCAGAATCCTCTAATACAGACGGTAGAGAAATACGTGTTTGCTTTAGGCATATTGTGTTAGATGTAAAGAGCCACTCCGTGTCCTAAGTTGATGTTGAAATTTCTAATTTACACCTAGTAGTCTCTGGGTTAAATTACATGCTATCACTGTCTACTTAAATGTCTTTTCTTCAAAGTGTATCTCTTTTATGTTTTTACCTTTATAAAATCAAAGCACGATTTAAAAATACTTTTCCCAGTTTTCTGGAATTACTTTCTAATAAGACATGCTTGCTCCCAATTGCAATTCTAAATCTCTAGCAACCACTGCATAAAACAGGCAACTCAAAATGTATCAGAAGATGAGTATGAGATTTGCAGCACTAAGTACACACATTAAAGTTAGAAATCCTAGTGTGCACTGCTTTCAGTTTATTTCTTAGGTCAATGAATGAAAATGGTGTTTGAATGCCTGATAAGATCCCATACACAATTTAGTGTGTTTGTATTAAATCGAAGTAACAACTTCTGCAGCCACTAACCTGTTTCTCTTGTCAGGATAGTATGTGCAAACTTCTTGGATAGTTATAAGGGCAGCTGAAGCCCTATGAGAAATGTCAAATTTAGGAAATCCTAGAAACGTTTTTCACAGACGTTTGCAATTTTAACCTGTGTGTGAGTATGTATAAACAGAGGTTATTGTGAAATTCAAGAGATAGACAATAGTGACAGAGGAATAAGAATTATGAACTAAAATTTCTGTCAAAGTTATAATATTTATTGAATTTGATAGTATATATTAAAGGACTTGCTAATTTTAAGATATATTCAAATATCAACTCATAGCAAATATAAATTATTAAGAATGATATCAATATAGTCTAACTATAAATGTTTTTTCTAACAATGACTGCAGAACAGTATCTGCTTTTTGATTTGATGGTATAACTACTAAGGAATACTTGTATGCACAAAGGTAACAGTCTTAACCTTCTGGAATCTCTACTGGTATTTACAAAGATACAGACAGGGGCCCGGGATTTGGCTCAATGATTCCACCATGTACCTCTTAAGAGCAAGGTCCCAAATTTGAGCTCCAGTACCAAAATAATAAAAAATAAAATAAAAAATAAACAACCAAATACAAAATGCAGAACAATGCTGTCTAGACCACTTCTAGGTCAGATATTTGGATATTTTGCTTTGAGCTCAATATTCTACATAGTATTTATTTGATACTGTGTGGCAATAGTGCCCTGCACTGTGGAGGCTTTAGTACTGCAGCAGCTATTTCAATGAAAATGAATTTTATATTTAAAACATAAATGGAATCTATGAGTTCAGATAAATCAACTATTTATATATATATGTATATATATATATATATGAAAATAAATAAAAATATATATTTTTTTACATTTTAAGAATACTCTTTTTGTCTACAAATAAGATGTGTACTTTAGTGTGAAAATGCTCAATGGTGAAGAATTCTCACAGACGGAATTTTGATTTGCCTACTCACCCACAGGAGACATCTCTGGAACACTTGCAACATAAGGCCCATCCAAAAACTTTGGCTCGTTATCATTAATATCCTGTACTTTGATGATAAATTCTGATTCGGGTTCCAAGGGCTTCTTGGTTTCTATGTCCACAGCCTGAGCACGAAGGGTGTAGAAAGGTTTCTCTTCTCTGTCCAGGCTCCTGAGGGCATGAATGTCCCCTGTGGTTTCATCAATGGTAAAAACTGTGCCAGCACCATCTCCTGAGAGGGTGTATTTAACAGTGCCCTCTCCCTTGTCCAAGTCAGAATGAAGCTGGTGGGGAGGGCGAAAGGAGGGGAGAGGGAGGGAGAGGGAGAGAGAGATAATTGAAGGAATGTCGCTATATTAAAATTCATATGTGTATTGCACTATAATTTCAGTACCAGGGATCAGACTCGGAGCCTTGCACCTGCGAGGCAAGCATGGTGCCTCAGAGCTAAATCCCCAGCCCTGCGAGGCTTTGTTTATAAACATTTTAATCCTCCAGAAATTTTTAAAACACCTATTTAGTCAACAGTACATATATAATCTCCATCCTAGATATTTTACCATTCATCTTTCAACTTAGTTGCCTTTTCACATAGCTAGATCACATATTGATCTTTTTCTCACTCCAGCCTATTTCTTTAATGTTATTAAAATCAGAAGAGAAGTACATAATACATCAACAGGCCTGGATACAATCAATTTTCAGCATTGTTCTTTAGTTCCTTCATACCTCTTTGGTCATAAAATTTCCGCAGAGTTGAATGCAGAAATAAGTATTCGTTTCATTTTAAAAGCTTATTGTTTAAAAATAAATTAGCTCATAAATATCAAATCATAAGACTGCAAATGACCTGCAGATAGAAGTCCATGAGCTGAATCCAACAAAAGATAAGGAAAACAAAATAAAATGAGAAAACACTGATTTCTCTTTTTATTTGAAGAAAGATCATTCAGGCATATATGATAGAACAGAGCGGTGCTTCTGGTCATGAACCGAATTAATCCACAGTTCTGGGGAATATGCCCGCCTTCCCATCTCCATGGGGAAGATTGCCCACGTGGTGCTCCTTACCAATGCTGACTTCTCCCCTCGTTGTGAAAGGAGGTATTACTGTATCTCATTTTAAATGAGCATGAATGCACTTATACTAATCTAATTATTGGGAGAATCAGTGATTGTTTTTGTCAAATTCACTAATGACTGCGAGCCCATTCTGTATGTAGAATACTTACTCTGTAAAATAGATAAAAATTGTATTTATTTAATTTCTCTTGAAGTTCCACATGTCGACACCTCACTATATTATGGCATATGGAGTAAGATAAACAAGAGTAACACTGAGGTAGAGATCCAAAGGAAAGAGAAATTATCCCTGTGATATTATAAGTTAGTTTTGTTTAAACGAGAGAAAAAATTAACCAAAGACAAACTCTTGGAGATCTATGAATCATCAGAAAGTAAAGCGATATATACATGAAATATCACTTAAATAGAATATTGCATTATAAACAGTTTTATAATACACATTCTTATTAGTAATATGAAAATGTTTATGCTTATTTAGATATAAAGCACACATTTTTACAAAGGAGATTACACATTTCTACTCATTCAAATGCTCATCTGAAATGGTTTAGTCATTCTTATTCATCATGGTTCAGCCTTTTGATAACATTCCCCAAGATTTCATTCCAGTGAGCAGATCACGCAAAAGAAAAATTTTAACCCTCTATCGTGTCCATACCATTGGCTGTGCTCTAAAATTTGCATTTAAGCACTACTGTCTCAAAAAATTTGGTTACAAAAGAGTTTTGCACTTGTTAATCTTTCAAAACAAAATATTTTCTGAAAATATTTTAAATTGCATCAGCATTCCTGTGCACATAGGTTATTAGTGCGCCAAATATAAGCATGACTATGTCTCCATTATTGCTATTAAATTCAACATTCAAGTTTAGATGCAGTAAAATAATTCCTCCAAATAAATGTGATTAAGTTGAATTTATTCATTCTGTCTGTTTATATTTATTTCAAAAAATTTATTTCAATTATTCTTGTATAAGCATAAGGATTTATACATGATTAAGAGACATAATTTGAAAAATAAGACAATAATAAGAAGTTACGATTTTGATTTTCCTTTAAAAGTTTCTATTTATTTTTGTTCAGTATAAGGGGAATTGCTAGGAATGATAGAAGGAAGGTTTTTCCTCCTAATATTTTACAAACTGCTGTGATGCATAGGAAATTTCAAGCGTAAAATCCAGCTAAAGATAAACGTTCTTTGAACTTAAAAATTTCAACCTACAAATTTAAACCATACTATTAAAGCTATTCAATACAGTGAGTACTACTTTTGGTATCAAATTTATCTGAAAATATAAGTCACGCAAAAGCTCAGTGTAGTAAGAATGACTTCATAAACTGGATCCATTTTGCCAATGGCTCAAGAAATATGTGCTGATATTATGGAAACCAAGGGAAACTTCTAAGTGGGATTTCACAATATAATTCAACTAGAGTTACAAAAATTTTCTCATTTAGCCAAAATCAAAACTGTTGGCTCTTCAAACTGACAGGGAATAAAAAATAATATGTTTTCAGCCCTATGCAAACTCCAAATTATATTCAGTTGCTGCTACTCCTCTATCTACCTTTTCCTTTTGATTAAAAAAATGCATTTTGCACAGATTAAAGCTTCAGAAGAAATATATAAAAATATGTCACAAGTTTGAGTTGGAAATAAAGTTGATGAATGGAATTCTTGAATTTTTCAGGCTTTTTATAAGGAGTACCTTAAAGGAGCTGTTATGATAGTACCTTAAAGGAAGATCACAGGCAATAGCCTGTTCTGACTCTTATATATTTCAAATTGGTCATACAATGCAGGTTTTATTCAAGTATGTGAATGACTTTCAAGTACATGGCTACATTGAATACTGTAGTGTACAGATGTTGTTCCAGGCTGTATCCTGATATTAAGGATACGGTAATGCTCTGAAGTTGGATTTTTAAAAATATTTATAAAATATTCTTTGGTGAAGATGTAAATGAATTTGAAAAAAATGCTTATAAAGTAAGATGAAAATTTCCATCATGCTCTCATCTGGAGAGATTTTATTTTGTTATGTAGGGAGCAAAAACCCTACATAAGTACATATTGGCTAGGCATTTATAATTAGACATATATGTCTCTGCTTATATATTTTTGATGTCAAAAGTGAAATATTCTTTTCAAATACAAAATATTATCTTTTGCAATATCACTTGAATATCTTCAAATTTTTTAAGTGTATGCATTGCGTTTATTTATTCAGTGAGGTAGAGTGACTCTAAAGGATTGTATATTGTTTGATCTTTCATAAAAATACCATGACTCTGTGTATGTTTATATGTTTTCTTCTGTTTATTTACTTCAATGTGCAACTATAAAGGCCAAAAAAAATTCTAATTCTTATGGCTATTGAGAAATTCTGGGAGACTTGAATGATTTCAGAAATTGGTATGTATGGATAAAATCACTTTCACAATCTTCTGCAATGGAATTTAGGCTTAACTTTGTCTCATTTGTATGAAGAAGGAAGCAATGGTATTCAAAGAGGATTCACAAGCTCTGCCTCATCTTTGGGTGGTGTTAAATGAGAAAAATAATTCACAGAACATAATTTTACAGAGTCACTTTAAGCTACACAGACAGCAAGTTAATAAATCTACAAAATTTTTGTTTTCCCTTAAAAATGTAAAAATAACAGCTAGGGATGTGTCTTCTTCCAAGTATTAAAAATAGGCTGTTTTCTGAGTAGGTGCTGACTTCATTTACTGACTGAAGCAGCCAAGTCCAATAATACCACCTCTCAGTATTGACACTTAAAATAAAATTTCTCCCTGACACACAGTTCCATAAATGATGGATGTAGAAACAAGTACTGTCCAGGCAGTTGTTTTGTGGAAATGGTGCTGATATTTTCTGATGTGTTCCAAGGCATCTCAGATGGCGCGTGAAAATGAGATGCCAAGAGACGCTTAAAATAAGATCCTGAGGACTAGCTTCAGAGTGCAAGGCTTGAATCTCAGTGTTTAAAAGTTTTGAAAAGCTAATCTAAAGTTAAATGTTTACTAGTGTCTCTCTGATTATATTTTGGAACTGCTGCACAAAAATGGAGTCTATTCTAATTTTTCTGCAGGTTGAAAAGTGCACATAAAATAGAAAATACTTTTATATCACGATGTCCGGCAGTGATTTCATTTTCATTTGCCACATGCCAGGCCTGGGATGGGGGGGCTAGATTGGCAATAGAAATACCACTGGCTTTCAGTACCCATTTACTGGATCGGCTGCCCATTTAAAATAAAAAAGTATGTTTATGTGATAACTACGTCTTAGAGTTAGGCATCTTCCCTGGAGAGAAGACAATCACAAGGCTGGAGAGTTAGCATATAAGGCTCCTACGTGGAAATCATGGTCATTATGATGAGATGGTTAAAACTCCAAACATACTGAGCAATATTTTTCAAGGAATTTTAAAGACGGTGCTCAATAGTTTTGCTTTTGAAATATTCAGACCTTACATTTCTTGATATTTATTTATTCTTTTCAAATGGTCTGTAAATTGCTCCTGATGCCCCATGCCCTCGTCACTTATCCCTGCCTTGTTTTCATTCATTGTCCCCTTTTTTCCTACTTCTTCAGCATTTGGGGTTCTGAAGTATGTACTCAGTTTCCTTTTTGAGGGATTTGTCTTCATTTTCTAAGACTAAATAATATGAAATTATAGAAAAATTGGATATTGGAAGAATATTTATTATCAGTTTCATTATCTGTAATGTTTCTGATTTGGTGATGGCCCTGGAGATTACAGAGTATGTGTTCACAGGTGCCATGGTACACCTCACACTTCTTTGGGATTTTCGTTACAGAGGGATTATATTTTAACATTTTTTATATCAGTAGATAGAAATTTGCTACATCTTCTTTAAATAATTGCAACAATTTTAACCCTAGTAATTCAAGAAATTGCTAAAAATCAACATATGGAAGAGTTTTAACTTCTACCTTCTTCCTAGTCACCTGGAGAAATTACATTTACCTTCTTTGGTTGCAATTCTCATTAGAAAATAAGAATATTTATTAAAGAATTAAATGTTATGCTAGTTTAAAAATTTTCAACCAAATGATATTTGTTTACACCATGCCAACTTTTTCTCCAGGGGAACTGCAATGCTATTTATTGTACATATTATCAGTGGAATGCTCATCTAAATAGTAGGTCTTTGTATCTTTGTT